TGGGTGGCTAATTAATTAGTGTTGCTATAAAAAATAAAATGGCGGCTGATGGCTATTAATTAATTTGTATTAAAAGGAAAAGTGGGATACTAGATTTGTTGTAAAAGATGCGGAAAGTGGAACATAAATTTGATGTAAAATAGAGGAAAAGTGGGATAAGATTTGCTATGTAAAAATTAAAAGGAAAAAGGGCTACAACCCTCCTTAGCCTTGTAAAAGGCTCCGCCCCTATATATATATATATATGTACACACATACTATACTACACCAAAAAAAAGGTTTTTAAGACATTATTTTAAATATAATAATAATTTTGTGAATAAATATATATTTTTTATTGATTTTATTTTGGTGCTAACTCTAGAGGATGTAAAGTGTTGATTACCTTTAAAATGACCAAATTATAATATTTGAAAACTTAGATTACAAAATGAAAAAATAACAACCATAAATTCTCAAAATAACTTACCCCGTAATAAAAATTGAGAACACATATTATGATAACAACAATTTGTTTCCAAAACCTACATGGCTAAAATTTGTCCAGGATGTCTTCAATATTTTTATATTTTTAATTTTGTCTATCTAATAGGTGTAAAGTTTCCACTTTTCCATTAAATCATCATTCTATCAAATCTCTTCATATAAATTAATAGAATTATATTTTAATTTGATATACCTATTTAAACCCACTTGAAACCTTACCTTTCCCATTAACTTAGTTAAATTGTTTGATTAATTTTAACAAAGTTCATAATTTGACATGTAGGAATTAATAAAATAAAAAATTCATGAAGAGACTAAATTTTATCTAGTTTAGAATATGAGGACTAAAAACTTCTTAAAAAAGGATTTAAATGAAAGTTAAAAAATAAAATATATGGGCAAAACTAAAATCTGTAAGATCTTAGGGATAAAAATGAAAGTTAGCAAAATATTTCACAATGAGCTGCTGGTTTTCTGTCCTCTTTAATTTTCCCTGTTGTCGCTGTCTCTTGATTATTATTATATGAAGCGCGGAACTGTGAGAGAATCCAGAAAGAGGCAGCACAAAAAAGGAAGCTGTGAGAAAGAAAAGGAAAGAATTCTTTATTATTGTCATTGTTATTGTTAGTGTATTATAAAAGTGAAAGCTGCTGGCAAAAGCATCGATGAAAATGGAAGGTTCTAGATCAGAAAATGCTGCAGACTTGACCTCGAAAGAAACGCTAATTAATCGATACAAGCTGAAGCCCATTTGGCGTTTATTCATGATTGTTAATCTTGGTCTTGGAGGTAGTAAAATCCCTGCTATTGTTCTTTTGGGTTTTGATTTTTTTGTTTACAATGTGTTTGTTATATTGACTGCTTTGCGTTTTTCTTTTGTTGAGAAATTGATAGATTCCTTGACAACCTTCATGAGTGCCTAGATATATGTCAACTGCCGCATTTTTTTTTGAAAAACATTATGATCAGCTTCTATGTGAGCTTGGTGAAGTTTGTGTTCAATGGTGCACATTCTATTTTTAGTAGATCAAAGCATGGTTTGAAGACTCTGCAAAATCTGCTGATGAAATTGCTTCGGCTCCCTGGAACCAGGGATGTCATTGTGCATCTAATTTTGAGTTCCAGTCGAGTTGTTTTTTAGGATATTGACATCATGTTGTTAAGTTATTCTCAAATAGTCAAAGCTTCTGCTTTCATCATACATATATATATATATATATATATATATATATATAAGCATTTTCCACATCTACTTGAACCAATATGCTGATTGAAATTCAAGAATAATTATGTGGGATCTGATTTATACAATTGGATATTGGTGTAGCAACCGTGATGGAATTACTTATCGTGCAAGTTCATTACCATTTAACCATCCCTGATGACCTATGGGTTCTGCAATTAATATCAGTACTGGCAATATAAAGGCATGAGCAATTTGATTAGCTGTCTACTAGAAATAAATGCCAAAGGTGGCCATGTTCTTCCTGCCACTCCTCCAACTGATTCAGAATGGTCCACTAAGATTTAAGTAGGAGCTCACAATTCCTTATTCCTCAACTGTTAATTGAAGGATCATATCAAACTATTTTTTCAATTTCATCATTTCTAGGTGTCAAATTAGAGTCACCTGGAAATAGGATTGCAGAACGTTCAGGATGAGGATGTGAGGGCAGGGGACAGTCCCAATTACCTTTATGTGGTGCATAGTGGGTAGACACAATTGGTTCAATGTTTGTAATCGTGGGAACTTATCAGAGTCAATTATTTAAAATTGTGCCAGCGAAACCCTAGAATGCCTATAGGAAAATGAGTAAAATCCCGATGATGCATGCATGTATGTTTTCCATTTCAATTAAGAGAGGTATTTATTTATTTTTGTGAAAGCATTTGTCGTCCGATGCCTTCCTTCACCATGCCCTTCAAGGACTCTAAGAGTCCAGCTCTTGCACTGTCGTGCTGCTGGAACCAAAATGATCGAATTCAGGATGCTCGTTTATCTGTCTGGGTAACTATGAGTTAAATATGAGTTTGAAATTGCAAAATCAAATTTTCTGGATGTTTGCATATGCATTTTCAGTTTCTGTTATTGTTGATTATTTTATAGTTTAGTTTTTGATGCTTTGGAGCTATGATTCAATTCAAAACTTTGTTCCCTCTTAACTCAAGCACTTGTGAATAAAATGCTTAATAATAGAAGTTTGTAACTGATTTTTGTGGACTTCTTTCAACCACTTGCAGCTTATATGTTTATCAAGCCAAAAAAGAAAACGACAAGCAAAGAAGCAAACAGAGGTGTGGAAAATGACGAAGTTCCTGTAGAAGCTTTCTTGGAACCTGCAACCACTTCAATTCCTGAGAGACCACCTCCGCCAGTTATTCGGGAGGAAAAGGAGCACGTGCCTGAAGATCAGCAGCATGACCTTTTTAAGTGGATATTGGAAGAGAAGAGAAAAATCAAACCCAAGGATCGTGAAGAGAAGAAACAAATTGATGAAGAGAAAGCCATTCTTAAACAGTTTATACCCGCAAAGTCCAATCCAAGTCTTTAATTGATACTTTAACATTGGTGTTTGTTGTAAAAAAGATATGAGTTTAGCTTTTTGGGTTGCTTATGAGTTATGAGTTAGAGATTCTGCAGTTGGATATGCTTTCCTCTTACATTCTTCTTCAATGTCTCGGCTAATCAGATAGATATTGCAAATGTAAACACCAAAACCAGGACATTATTTGTATTACTTGTGGCTAATAATTTTGTTCATTTTGAGATGGTGGCAAAAGACAAAATTAGAGATTTGGCTTTGCACCAAGTAGAGGTTAGAAATATTTGTAAGGCTTGTGGTGACCCCACCATTTAAATTGCTTGTAGTCCAACCACATCCACTCTTTTCTATCCAATCCTAACTCATGCAGATGCTCCCAAACACCACTCTTACCTGGAGCAATCGTTTTAGATTTTCAATATGAGATCATAGCTCTTCTACTTCTGTGTCCCTGGTTGATCTCTTGACTCTTCGATACCTGAGCCAACTTGAAAAATCAAGTTTTTGATCTTCAATGCCAGGAGCCATCGAAGTCTCAGGTACTACAGAACTGTAGTTTCTAAACTGAAATTCAAACCTGGCAGTTCTTTTGTTACAGCTGAATATGTTCCACTTTTATTTCTTCCCAGTTCTTGATTTCATGGGTCTTCAGTCATCATCACCACCTTCGCAAATGTCCATAAAGGGTACACGATGACCAATTATTTGTTTTTTGTTTTTTTCCTTTCTTTCCTTGTTTTCCTTGGAACATTAAAATCTTACAGGGCTTGTATTTCATAATCATTCTGTAGTTTCCATGGGCAAAAGAGAGTATGAAACACGGGACAAGGGAGATTTCATTTTGTAATATCGTTTCCTCTCTTTCTTTGCAGTTTTATTTTTATGTATAAAACGTTGAAGTTTTACTCATACACGTTGTGTGTTGGAGCAGTCCATTAACAACACTCCGCGAAAATTTGATTGTTACACTGCAGGATGCCAAGGGAAATGAAATATCACATACAGGTTTTAGCTCAATCATTTCTCATTTGCTTTAATTGATCACTTGCACTAAATTCTATTCATCTGTTCATCAGCAACGGGATGGTTATGATTGGTTGCAGGTGTGGAGACAAGGTTAGTAATAGAGAAGGGTATTTGGGATGACACATTTCCCTTGGAAGGAGGTGGGCATGTGCGCATGAAGTTGCAGTTTGTCCTCAGTGAAGCAGACCGCCATCGTATCCGTCTCATGGTGCAGTTGCTCTGTTCTGTTCCTTTAATATCTTAACTCTCTTGTGCCCTTCTAGTCCAATTGGATAGTTATTGTTATTAAGCGATCACTAACTTATCTACTGATGGCACGACAAACCAGCAATTCCAGTGTTTCTGTACCCACAAACTAGAGCAATCCTTAGGAATTTTCTTCATTAGCCCTATGAGACAATTAGTTTTGTATTTCCAAATAGATGGTTGTGTTGATTCTGGTTTTAGTTGACGTGGTAGTGAAGCTTGTCATTGAAATCTTTTTGCGCAAAATGTACTTTATTGGAGTAGTTAGATAGCCTTATTGCTTTCAAGCCTTTTGTTTTCATTCTTGGGAGTTAGAAGAAGTGTAAAGTATCTCTTCTGTCTCTTGTCATATTTTTAAATCTTGTTTGCAGAGAGAGTTGGCATTGAAAAAGAAACATGATGAGCTTCTCAGCAGTGAACCTAGATGTCCAGAATATGCTACTGCTGTTGATAGTAGGGTTGCATCATCTTCATGGCCCAAACATGAGGTCTCAGGTTTGATCTTGCTTAAATGAAATAAACTAGAAAATGTTTAAACAGAAATATGAAAGCTAAAAGAACAAATAGTAATATCAAACTCCCCTATCTGAAAGTCTTTTTCTTGATTTTCTCACTGCTCCACCTTCTCAAGATTCAAGAAAAGGAGTTTTTCAAAGTGAAGTGATGGCGACTCAAGTTAGTCTGATAGCGACTCCTCCCACTTTTTCCAAGAGTGGAAAATCATGTCTGGACAACAGGGAAGGAACAAATTGTGTTCTGAAGCAAACAAGTCCAGTTAAGGATCCCTGAACATTGCTTGTGAATGTTGTTTCTTCCATTGAAAAACAAAGCATTTGATAATTACCTCAAGATCTTCTCACAACATTTGACCTGTTTTAGAATGATCCAGATAAACATGAAGGCTCTCCATCCATTGCTCCTGTTTTGCAAGGATTTGGAGCCAATCTAAATGAAGAAAGCCACAAGAGCTTAGGAAAGAAGAGAGGAACGGAGCCTCCTCCCATTGATGTTCCCCTTAAAACCATTCGCTCAAAAGAAGCTCTGTATTTTGGAAGCTCAGAACCAAAAGTGACTGCAAGTGATAAGATTCCTGCGAAACTAAAAGGACATGGGGATAGTGTCCCGGGGAAGCAGAACCCAGTGAACAAAACTCCTAGAAATGTAAGGAACATGATAACTGCCTTTGAAAGTAGTCTAAATCAGGTGTGTTTGGTTTATTGTTTTAAAATTCTGCGTGCTAGAACCAGCAAATTCTTACTTTTCTAAAATGTTATTCAACAAAACTTGTGGTGATGCAGGATGTGAAACCAAAAGAAACACCGCTACCAATAAAATCTGCATCGAGCAGGTTGGAAATTCCAATGGAATTTGCTCCAAAATGTTTTTGGTCAGATGAAGTTAGAACAGAAAAGAATATACCAGAACAATCACTTCCAGGAAGGGATAGAAGTCCTTATCTTATAGAAGACATTCAAGGAGCCTCAAATAATATTAGAGAAGGAGAAGAGCATGTTGGTTTTGTTCGAGCATCTACTGTGACTACTTCATCTCAGGATACAGGGAAGTCGGAGGAAGAGTTAAGTGATGCAAGTTTTCGAAATAAAGGATCAAATGTAGTTTTGAAGAATAAACTCCAACTTATGGATAAAGCTGACATGGGGAAAGAGAAAACTTCTGATGTTTTGTTGAGAGCTTTGGTAGGTGACAAAGCTTCTATTTCAGGAAGAATGCTTAATGAGTATTTGGGTAAACAACCATATTGTAAATTGTTAGCCGGGAAAAAACATTCAGGTGGCAATTTGCTCATAACTAAAAGTGGAAAAGAAACTCACTAAAAAAATTTGGAAAGAATCAGCATTCAAGAAGGTTCAGGAGATGCGCATCATTCTTCAGAATGCTATGGTGCTTGGATATTCCCTTATGAAAGACGGCGGTTGTGTATCACAACTGCAGGAACCCAACTATTGAATCTAATGGGAAGTTTCTGGGATGACACGAAAGTGCAAGCAGGAAAGATGAGTTCTTCTGTAGCAGAAAACATGGAAGAGGTATTTATTTTCTTCAACGGACAACTTTTACAATGGCTGAACATTATTCAGCAAGAGTCTCATTTTCTTTGTAAAACATCTGTTGAAGTATGTTTGCTCATAACTCGAGCCATGGTATGAGGTTATGAGCAATAGAAGTGGTACTAACACAACCATTGAATGTCGCATTATGATATCACTTCCTGGTTTGACTTGAACATCTTACAGGGGTGAAATACACCAATCTCAATAATATATATAGTAACTCTTGCAAATTCAGTAGCATGTACATGCTATGCATCACTGAAGGTGAGTGCTAACTTCATTACTTATTCCTTCCATACCGAATGAGTAATGAGTTTGTTTGTTAAATATGAAGTTATCAAATTGCAAACGAAACCAACCCAATTCAGCTGAGTTGGAATGATGCACATATTTGTGGTTGTCTGACCATATATGGCTGAATGACTTTCCTTATGATTTTTCAGAAACTCAATTCAATAATCTAATGATTTCTTTGCCTATTATATCCAGCTTAGTGTTCATGGTGGCACTGGTATCATGTCCAAAGAACGCGAGAAGACCTCTCAAAGACAGAAAATGTCAAAACTTCAGGGTTCAATTGATGCTGAAACTTCTGGAGGACCAGTTGGGCAGGTTTCTTCCCTTTCCCTTTCGTCAAACCATGCTTTTGTTTTGATAATTACTTGGAGCTATCTTTAGAAGGATTCATTAATGGACAAAAATCTATTCTACACCAATTACTATATTAATTTTTGAACAGACCAACAATCATTTTGTGTATTCATCTGATCCCCGTCTCCTACCATGAGTGTCTAATGGGAAACATATTGAAGAAAGTGGAAGGAAGCAGATCTTTTAACAATGGTCCCGAGAACAACTCTTTTTGAGACAAAAAAAAAAAATAAGAATATATCAGGCAATCGGCCCTTCTTAAAATTCTTAGAAAACTCCACGCTTTTCTGCAGTTTTTAAATTTAATAATTACCTTCTTGAATATCTCCATAGAAACAGTGTCAAACAACTTCCTTTGTCATTAACTTTCTTATATATCCTGTTGAGGATGTGCTACCTCAGCATCAAAAGATCCAAAAGTAAGGAAACATTAAATTTTGCTATGATGGAGTGCTATTGATTTTGCATTAAATCCATATGAACTGTCAACAGAGACAGATATAATGTAGTCATTAGAATAATGTACTCTCCTTGCTATCTTCTCCTCACTAGAATGGGAAGAAAGAGCTTGAGAGCTTAGTTGTAAATGTTGTTTTTACTCAGGTGATGAGAGGTGTAATCATGGTTGGGTTTGCTACGCTTGTTCTCCTTACCAGACAGAAAACCAGGTAGCAGGTACCTATGTCATCTCTCCTTTGATGTAGAAGAATGCCGCATGCTCTTCACATTTATCAACACATCAAACAACATTTTTTGTCAACTTGTTAAGTTGCACTCTTGGGATTTTTCAGATAGATATGCTAGATGATTGGTGCTGTCGAAGCGGTCAGCTTATAGAAAGTACAGGAACTATTTGTATCCACAAATTGCTTTCAAATTATCTGGATTCTTCTGTAAGGATATGTTGGTGCTCCTATATTTTTAATGAATCCCTGGGCTTATCAAGAAAAACAAGCTTGCTTATATATGAGTTCCATAAGATCCGGATGAACAATTTTCTGGTATTGTTTAGCAGTTTCCAATCGTTTTAGTTCTTACATGCTTTCTTTTGAAGCAAAACAATTAAAAGCACGTAAGTGTTTGATAAGAATTTGAATGTCTTGGTACTTTGCTTTTGGATGTGAAAGTTTATTTTTTTTTTTTTTCTCTCTTAAAGTAACTATGAAACCTATTGACTTGTCTGTTTAGAGATCAAGAGCATGAGTTATCCTCGTAGCACCCTTGAACCACCAAATTCAAGCATGTCTGTAGTGTTTGGTGTTTGGTGTTTGGCGTGTTTGACATTATGTTTTAAAAGTTTTTTAAAAAAATTATTTTTTTTTTTATTTTAAATTAATATATTTTTTATCTTTTCAAATAGGTGATCTTAAAAATAATATTTAAAAAATAAAAAATATTATTGGTATATTTTTTTTAAATAAAAAATATTTTAAAAAGTAATTCTAACCATACTTACAAACATGTATTCGAAGAAAGTCAATAATACACACATAAGGTATCATTTTTAATAGCCTATAAGGTTTGATGAACACAACAAATAGAGAAATAATTTGCAATGGATTAAAAATCATTTGAGAAGAAATCTGCATGCATCAAGTGGATTTTATTGATTTAAAAGCTCTGAATACGGCTTGTCAAAGGGAAATTATTATTGATGAGCACACTTTGAATTTTTATAACTAGGTTGTTTAGAATTTTAAACGGGCAAATCCAGAAGAATGAAGGTAACAGGTTGAGTGAAGCAATGAAAGTAAGAGAGATCATCAAACCAATTATCGTTCTACAGGTTGGCTGCTTTCTTTCGATCAGTAAATGAACATTGCAACAATGAATAATAGAACATATTAAAATATGAACAATCACGGGATGATTTTGTTAGAATAAACCAATTGATACATATACTTGCTGTTAATATATATGCTTGGGATCTAGATATTACATGCTACCAACATTAATTCCCTTAACGATGAGTTATAAATAAGGTAGGGGAAGGAATTTGAATAGAACTGTAGCGAAAAAACTTCAAATTCACTAAACACATCGTTTCACTTATAATTAGTAATGTGTCAATAGCCACGTATAAAAAAACTATAAATCCTCCTATTCCGGACAAGCACCTTGCATGCATATAATGCATTGCAACCAAATAGTATAGGCAAAGAAAAAAAATATGCATTGTGTATGTGTGAAGAAAGAAATTCAGGTGAATCTGCTCCCATCCTATCCAAGTTCAATTTCAATTCAGTTTTAGTTATTGTTACTAGTTTTAATCACCAAATATACCTTTTAGTGCTCATTTTGGCTCCTAAAATTTCTATAATAGTGACAGCATTCACTAGAATAAAGATTTAGTGTTCTTCATTCTGTTAAATCGTCATAAGTGGTATCAGAGCTCTCCTTCCTTGGACTGGGAACATGGCACCTGACATAAGAACCGCATAGATCAAACGATTTGAAGATTCTATCGAATCATCCAAAAAAGAGGCTAACACCAAGTATGATCAGCTAGTTAATCTTATGAGGGACCAAGGTCAAAGGTGGGATCACACCACCCATAATCACGAAGCTCAAATAGGGGGAATTAAAGATCTGCTCCATGTGTTGACACAATAACTAGAATCGGTTATGCAAAGGTTTCCTCCCTCCTCAAGGGAATCCAGTCGCAACAAAGATAAGTATGCTGCTTATCAAACTAAACCTTCATTCAGGCCTAGCTACTCAACTAAAGGAAGGCCATTAAATTACAAGGTACACCGACCTAAATATCTTTTTCCAGTGTTTGAGGGTGAAGATGTGTATAGATGGTTGTACAAATGTAACCAATACTTTGATATTGAAGACATTGATGAATCAGATAAATTGAAACTAGCTTCCTATTACCTAGACGGCATAGCCCTTTACTAGCACTAGAATTTTATGAGGAACCTAAACAACCAGAGTGTGAGCTGGGGAGGAATATGTAGAAGCTCTTTGTTATAGGTTCGGGGAGCAGAAGGATCCAATGGAGGACATGATAGACCTGAAACAGGTAGGGACTCTAGAGACTTATATCCATAATTTTGATGTTCTATAGAATAAGGCTGGCATTGGGGAGAAGCAAGCATTAGTTATTTTTTTTACATGGGTTGGAACTAGAAATTAAGAACACTGTAAAAATATTTGAACCCTTGGGCAAGCCTTTAATCTTGCTAGATTACAGGCAAACACAATAACTCACAAACAAAGTCAAGGATATATACCAAAACACTCAATGTCCACAGCATCCCATAACCTTTCATTAAAACCCATACACACACCAAATCTTACTACCACCCATTTCTCCACAGCTAGCAACATACCTACTGTTAAGGCATCTTCTTGGTCAAACAGCTCCCAAAACTCATTTAATAGGACCCCTAATAAACCCATCAAATCTATAAAGAACTAGGAATCTGAAGAATAAAGGCTGAAAGGACTTTGTTTTTGGTGTGATGATAAATTCATGCCAGGCCGTAGGTGTAAGAATAAAAGGTTATATTCCCTGAGTATTCTACAGGAGGAGGAAAAAACTAACGGGGATGAGGTCTAGGAAGAGGAAATCATACCCTACATCTCCTTGAATGCCTTAGAAGGAACCGAAGGTTTTCATACTATGAAGGTGACAGGGAGAATAGGGAAACAAAGCCTCCACATCCTAGTGGACTTTAGGAGTACCCATAATTTTCTCAACTCCTCTATAGCATTAAAATTGCAAAGTGAGTTAACCATCACACCTATCACGGTACAGACAACCAATGGGGGAAAAATGTCATGTGAATCAGTCTACAAGGGTCTCAAATGAAAGATACAGGGAGTGAGTTTCGAAGCTGATTTGTTTATCATGGATTTAAACAATTACGACATAGTGCTTGACATTCAGTGGCTATCTATGTTAGGGGAGACATTTTATGCAACTATAAGCACCTTTGGATGTCTTTCGATTAGCAAGGCCAGAGGGTGTTGCTTAGAGGGGAAAATCCCATCAAATTCCAAGCTATTGAGCTGGAGCAGCTTAAGGGATTACTGAGCAATTTGAAATAATTGGCAGAAGTCCATTTGTGCAGTCTACGAATTCTAGACTAGGATGAATTCACTCTTAGTTTACTAACAGTGGCACCACCTCCTCACCTCAACAAGGATCACAAAATCACAGAGTTGATGGGTGACTATCAGGACTTATTTAAGGAACCTAAAGGACTGCCACCACCTAGGAGCCATTATCACATTGTTCCTTTGAAGGAAGGAATCCAACCTCTTAATTTGAGACCCTATAGGTACTCAGGGTTGTAGAAAGATGTGTTGGAAAACATGGTAGAAGAAATGCTGGAAACGGATATTATAAGGCCTAGCAACAATCCATTTGCTTCACCAGTGGTCTTGGTTAAGAAAAAAGATTCCACCTGGAGGTTATGTGTGGATTATAGAGCTTTGAACAGACTTACGATCAAGGATAAGTACCCCATTCTAGTGGTGGAAGAGTTACTGGAGGAACTAGTAGGAGCAACCATTTTTTCAAAGATTGACCTTCATTCGAGGTATCACCAGATCATAATGGGTTTAGTGGAGGAATTCAAGACGGCTTTCAGAACTTATAACAGCCATTACAAGTTTTTGGTTATGCCTTTTGGGCTGACCAATGCACCCGCTACATTTCAGAGCTTGATGAATGAAGTTTTTCGAGTACACCTCAGGAAATTCATCCTGGTATTTTTCGATAACATTCTCATACACAATAAGTCTTCTATAGCTTACTATGAACATCTAAGAACTATTTTCAATTTGTTGAGGATACATCAATTGGTTGCTAAAGCAAGTAAATACAGTTTTGGTAGTGAGCAGGTCGAGTATTTAGGCCATATTATTTCCAAATCTGGAGTTGCTACTAACCCCAGCAAAATCAAAGCAATACTCGATTGGCCCTTAACTAGGAACCTGAGGCAACTACGAGGGTTTTTGGGGCTTACAAGCTACTATCAAAGGTTTGTGAAGGGATACGGGTCCATTTATAAACCATTGATGCAAATTCTTAAAAAGGATTCTTTCGGATGGAATTCTAAAGCTACCACTGCATTTACACTACTCAAGGAATTGATAACAACCCCTCTAGTACTATCCTTACCAGATTTGGATAAACTATTTATGGTAGAAATGGATGCCTCTATGGTTGGTATGGGAGCGATTTTAATGGAAGAAGGCCACCGTACTGCCTACATTAGCAAAGCTCTAGGATTAAAACAGCAAGCCATGTCAATCTATGAAAAAAATATTGGCTATCATGCATGCAGTTCACAAGTGGAGACATTACCTATGAGGAAAGCATTTTAAGATTCGCAGTGACCACGTAAGTCTAAAATACCTCTTGGATCAAAAAATAATCACTCCAATACAACATCAATGGCTAGTCAAGTTGATGGGGTATGATTATGAGATAGAATACAGATGAGGGAAGGAGAATATGGCCGCATATGCACTTTCCAAGCATGTCAATCATGAATTTTTACTATGATTGTCTCCTCCATTTCTTCTAACATCATGAAGGCAATTAGCAATTCTTGGCAAGGGGATCCATATTGACTATCTATCATCCATGACCTATAATCAATGTCAAGCTCACATCCTCACTATAGTTGGGTAAATGGCCACTTATATAGGAAGGGTAAGATTGTGGTAGGCCTTGACTTGGAACTACAGTCCAAGATTATTTCCCTATATCATATCTCAGCATTAGGGGGGCACTCAGGAGTGACTGCCACTGCAAAACAAGTGGGAAGCTTGTTCTACTAGAAAGGGCAACAAAAGCACATCCACCAATTTGCCAGGGAATGCTCTACCTGCCAGCGAAACAAACACAAAAATATAACCACCCCAAGACTCTTACAACCTCTGCCTATTCCCCATACCCCATTCATTGACATCAGTATGGATTTTGTCGAAGGGTTACCTAAATCTAAAGGAAAGGAT